CTCATCATTCTCAAAACATTTGCTTTCTACTTGAGCCTTGGCATCAGCTCCTCATTTTCCCCCTTCCTCTCCCTCATGTACCCTTGGTAATTTATAAATTATTATTTTGTCATATCTTACACTGTCCAATGTCACCCCTCACCCACTTTTCTGTTGTCCATCCCCCAGGGAGGAGGTTATACGTAGATCCTTATAATCGACTCCCCCTTTCTACCCCAACTTCCCTCCACCCTCCCGGTATCGCCACTCTCACCATTGGTCCTAAGGGGTTTATCTGTCCTGGATTCCCTGTGCTTCCAGATCATATCTGTACCAGTGTACATGCTCTGGTCTAGCCAGATTTGTAAGGTAATTGGGGTCATGATAGTGGGGGGAGGGAGCATTAAAGAACTAGAGGAAAATTGTATGTTTTATCGGTGCTTGACTGCACCTTGACTGACTCTTCTCTTCCTTGTACCTCTTCTGTGAGGGGATATCCAATTGTCACAGATGGACTTTGAATCTCCTCTCCGCACTCCCACTCATTCACATTGATAGGATTTTTTGTTCTGGGTCTTTGATGCCTGATACCTGATCCCATCAACACCTCATGATCACACATGCTGGTGTGCTTCTTCCATGTGGGCTTACTTGCTTCTTGGCTAGATGGCTGCTTGTTTATCTTCAAGCCTTTCAGACTCCAGACGCTTTATCTTCTGATAGCCGGGCACCATCAGCTTTCTTCACCACATTTGCGTATGCACCCATTTTATCTTCTGTGACCATGTCAGGAAGGTGAGCATCACAGAATGCCAGGTTATTACAACAAGTGTTCTTGATTGAGAGAGTACTTGAGTAGAGGCCCAATGTCCATGTGCTACCTTGATACTTGACATATAAATATATGTACATAGATTTATTCCCCTATCATTATATATAAATACATTTACATATGTACATGCCTGTATTTAGACCTCCGTAAATGTCCTTTGCCTCCAAGTTCTTTCCTTTCTTTCCATTTACTTTCCTCTTGTCCCAATCATGCTCAGCCTTCATTCTGGTTTCAGTAATTCCTCTCTGCTCCATTGCCCAGGATCAAGCCCCACCAGGCATCCTATGCTCTCCTCGCCATCAATTTTAGATCAGTTGTTGTTCCCTTGTTCCTGGGTTGGTTGACACCTCTTCCTTTCCCCCCGCTTCCCCCTCTCCCATGTCCCCCGGAACTGTTGGTCCTGTGGTTTTCACCTCTGGATTGTTTATGCCGCCTATGTTACTTCCAAGCTCTCTTGGAGCTTATTGTTGCCACTAAATTCTGAGAAAAGTTTTGTAGTTTCATTGTGTTTTGTTTGTCGGTTTCTTCTTGTCTTTTTTATTGACTTTGCTGTATAATTATACATTTTAATACTAATGATTACAGCTTAGAAAGCCCTATGAAGCAATTCTGTTCTGTTCCTCATTGAGTTGTAATCGACTGACAGCAGTGACAGCAAGGAGCTTTGAACCACAACTCATTAGCCCAGGAGTTGCCTGGCTTTCTTTGCGCCTGTCTACCCTGTGCCTTCTTGTAACCGTGAGTGAATGCCCTTTCTTTCTGGATACCATTTTGCCACATCTGCTTTCTTTTTATTTCCATCTAACTGATGGATTTTGCTTTTCTTTGCTTTAAGCCAATCTGCCATTTTGTTTATGAACAGGATTTGGGTTTGATTGTTTATTTTCTATCCAATCCAAGGGCTTTCTTTATATGGAAATTTTACTCCTTTATTCTGTTTAGTTTATTCCTGCTTCTTTATTTTGTCCTTTAAAATTGTTCGTTTCCTTTTTTACTTCTTTTGCTATATTTACACATTTTTCTTCCCATCAATTATCTATTATTTTTATTCTACTGGTGACATTTAAATAAAAACAGTATTGTTTATATCTGTCTATCAGTGTTAATCAGGAGCCTGCGGGTAAGCTATTGGGTTACTAACTAACTGAAGTAAGATCTGTAGCCTCAGAAATCCTAGGGGGCAGTTCTGCTCTGAGTGTGGGTTAGAGTTTTGTCTTTATTGATGTTAATGAGAGCCCCCTGAGTGATAGAAAGGGATTAAGATGCCCAGTTGCAAACTGTTAGGTTGAGGGTTCAAGTCCATACAAAGGTGCCTCAGAATCAAGCACTGGACATGCCAGGGGGCACAGTTCTCTGAACCATGGGTCACCAGGGGTCTAGTTGACCCACTGGCAAAGGTTTGTTTCTCAGTGCTAATGGAGTCTGTGAAGCAAACCAGCATCTCAGTGGCTCTGTTACCACCTTCTTCACCAGACCTGGCCCAACAGAGGCATTGAAGTCATTTGGAACTGTAGGTCCAGAAGATTTTGCACCATGAAATTCCTCTTGTGGCAGTAATTCTTAAATTGGCATTCAGCTTCTAAAGCACATGAACAATAATTGCTTGATAACAATAGTCCCTCTGTTTTACTGGATTATCACTAACCACTGCTTTCTCGTTACCAAATTCTTCAGTTCTTCACCCTTTATTCTAATTCACTGCTCACTTTGGCTGGAATACCTTCTAGAGAAGTGAGATAGTTTATTGTTCCAGCCTGGCCGATAAGCACAAGTGGGATTAACTGAAGGGCGGAGAGATAAATGGCTTGGTGAGCCTCGCCTTTCTTGTCTCTTGCTTTTTGATCATTGGACCAGTGTGCGCTGTCTTGCTTGTTCTGTGCCTCAATTTACAGACTACACTACCTGTGGGACTTCTAGCCTGTGAACTGTGTCGCTGTAAGTTGAGGTCCCTTTAAGACATCTCGAGCTGGGGACTGGCGGTTGGTGACCTGGCTGACAGTTGGTGACCTGCCTTGTGATTGGCTGCTGTGCTGGGACAGCCTACCTCTCATTTATATAGAGGAAGACCTGGCAGCAGACAAGACTTGAAGGACTGCTAGTGTCTCACAACTCTCTCACGGGAGTGAGTTGGACTGAGCCATTTGTACTTCTTTATAATTTAACTGTTCTTTTATTGTATTATATATCTACCTGTATATAATTTAACAGTTCATTTCTTGTGTTATATATCTAATTATCTTTATAAATAAATATATTAAATTATCAGCAATTTGGTTTTATCTCTCTAGAGAACCCTGTCTAACACATTTTGGTACCAGGAGTGCTTCTAGAGAAATAAAATCATAAATATAGGCTTCTTAAATTGGCTCTCCAACCTGATTAGTCTTAACACTAGTAATGCTACTTCAACACCCCAAAGCATGGATGAGTCTGCTACTCCTACTAATCCATGGTGTGAAGTAGAAAAGATAATACGTAAAGTGGCACCACCAATAGATGAGGTTAAAGGAGAGGCTCTGAATGATCGTATGTTTGATATTTTCCAGGAGTTTTGTAAGGATGACAAGTATAGGGAAGCTGGCTAACTGGTTCTTCTTACAATGGAAAGTGTGATTGAGAAGAGGGATGGTCTCAGAGCCTCAGAAGCGAGCCTCAGGTGGAGACTAACGGATTCGAAAACTTCCACCTGTGCTACAAAGGAGCGCCTTCTCTCCTCTAGCAAGAGTTGACATTGCTGAGAACCAGGTCCAGAGTCTCATTATGCGAGTGGCTGAATTACAGCGGCAGCTGAATTGCAGATCAGAGCAGTGTCTGAAACCAAAGTGAGGGCATTGATTGGGAAAAGTTGGGACCCTGAAACATGGGATGGGAACATATGGGCTGATGATCCAGAAGAGGAGGATATTGAGCCCCTAGAAACAATTGACCCACCCCAGTCAATAGATCCACCTCTCCCAGCTGAAAGTATTAATTCACAATCCACACCTGAGCAGATTAGCCAAACTGTGCAAGTTGATATGCCAGGTGGGGCTGCATCAGTAGCACTGCCTGAATGAGATGCCTTAAAAGATTTTGCTAAGAGCACCCAGGAAACACCCTCACCACCCATTATTTCCGCTAGACCTTGTCACTAAAATGAAGTCTCAGAAAGCTCCTAAAGGTGAGGTTGAGATGATTACCCAAGAAGAAGCACGCTATACTCATAAAGATCTCGAGTTTTCAAATACCTACAAGCAGAAGCCTGGGGGATATCCCTGGGAATAGTTACTAAGGGTGTGGAATACTGGTGCACGAAATGTAATATGAGACTGGTCTGAGTTTCTGGATATGGGACCCCTAAGCAAAGACTCTTCTTTCAATGCCTGTGCAAAAGAGGCTAAGATAGGATCTAATTCTTTATTTGGTTGGTTCAATGAAGCATGCACTGCCATATGACCTAGATTGGACCAACTTGAAGTACCTGACCTACCTTGGTACACTGTAGAGGAAGGCATCCAAAAGCTTAGAGAAATTGGTATGTTGGAATGATCTATCAGGATATTCCCATAGACCCCAAAAGGGGGTGTCCTGAGGACATACCCTTTACCACAACCATAAGGAACAAGTTTGTGAAGTGGGCCCCAGCATCTCTTAAGATTCCTGTAATTGCTATTTTATGTGCACCAGGATTAACAGTGGGCACTGCCCTAAGCGAACTCCGACATTTACCCACAATGAGGCTGATTGGTCCCTGTGATGGTAGAGGGCAGGTGTCAGCACTGAATCAACAGAGGCAGGGTGGGCGTGATTATAATAGACAACATGGTTTCCGTAGTAATCAGAGCAACCTGTCCCTTTGCCATATGGTCTACCTCATGTTCTCGCTGCTTCTAGCCCTGTCACCCCTTCCCCTTTACACTGAGCTCCGAGAGTTCAGAGCCACGTCGTGCTCTCCTCTATGTGAGGGGGCTTCAGAAGGAATGGGTTAGAGGAGGCCGGGTTTGAGCTGTTACCCAGCACTTGTTCTCCAAGAGGCCTTGGACACTAAGCCCCTGACCCCCCTTCAGACAAGGAGTGTGGTGCTCCTACTTAGCTCAGGTCAGACACCACAACGAGGCACAGTGTACACTGGGGTACCTGCGAGTTCTGTGTGCTGTGTTCCCTGTAGCGCCTAGTCCACCACAAGCCTTCAGCTCCTGGCAAGTCTTCGCTTTTGGACTCAAGTCAGTGGCGCTGGGGCCCCACACAGGATCCCACCTGCACACGCCAGTAGGTGGGTCCTCAGATGCAGTTCTTCAAGCCTTGAGTGGAAGGAGGGGGAGAGGTTCATTTTCTGTCTCTCTTTTTTTTTTTTTCTATTTTCTCAGGCTCATACAATTCATCACAATACATAGATCAATTGTGTAAAGCACATCTATACATTTGTTGCCCTCATCATTCCCAAAATTCGCTAGCCTCTAATTTTCCTTCCCCCCCTTCCCTTCCTCCTCCCCTCTACCCCATGCACCCCTAATAATTTATAAATTATTATTGTATCTTATATAATTTTCTCTCTTTTTTAAAAAAACAAATTGTAGCCCTCCACTGAAAGATAGAGTCCTGTTGATTTGACTGGTTGGTTGGATTTTCAATACAAACACACAGGTGGCAGCTCAAAAGAGAGGCAGCGTGGTCTGCCAGTGGGAAAGACTTGACTCAAAGTATCTTGTAGATGGTGCTTGATGGGTGTGGCGGGTCTGTGCTGGGAGGCGCTACCAATCAGTGAAGGGCTGCGTTTGTTCTGTGTGCAGTTCTCTGCCACGTCCATCCCCAATTAGATTCTGGTCCGATGAGGAAGAAGAACGCTGGGTTGCACAGTTTCAAATGCTCCTGAGGATGTGATAGTGCCTTTTTATCCAAAGGGTAGGGAATTACTGGCTTGCACACTCTGGAGTCAGTCTTCCTTCACGGAAAGCTTCCCCTTTGCCCTCTCCCCTAGGGCTCTGCTCCCCAAAGCCTTGGAAACTTGCTGGACATGATGTACCGGGATCCAGCACGATGGGCCTATACCTTCCAGACCTTTTCCTTCATGAGCCGCCTGAAAGTCCAGCTGGAGTCCTGCTCGGAGAAGCCCGATGAGGCCGGGGGCCTGGTGCAGGTGTTTGAGAGGTCCGTGTACAGTGACAGGTGAGACAACGAGCCTGCCGCCTGCCACTCCAGCCCTGTGTTGTTCTTCGTGCTCAGAGCCTGCACCACTCTAGCCTTTGAAAACCATCCTGGGGAAAGCCCACCTTCTTTCTTTAAAGAACTTTGTTTTCATTTATTTCTTAACGGTTTTATTGACGTATAATTCACATGCCAGACAATTCGACGGTTTAGATATATTAAAAGGACTTGTGCACCATCTTCTTTCTACAGCTAAGGCTAGATGTAGCAGATTTATCCAGACTTCTGATTCCAAGGAGTCGTCTTGTGTTATGACCAACAAGGAAATGTGTTCTTCCTAAGTGGAGTGCATTTAATTTCCCACACTGCCACTGTTCCCTTATCCTATTTCGGTGCAGGGGCAACCTGGTAGCTACCCTGTGCGACCATTTACATACTGAAAGGCACAGAACTAACACGTAAGTGTATGAATCGGGTGGTTTTCACCTTAAAGGAAGTAGAATTAAAATGTTCTGTTTTTACGATGGCACTTTCCCTCCTGTTCTTCAGAAAAGGATTTCCAAGTGGAATTAGCACCTCTGAAATCGGCACCTGCCTCACATGTAGTCTCTGTTGACTCCAACTTTTATAGCGGGGCTGCTCTTGGCCAGAGTCTCTAATGGACATCAGGGCCCTGATCAGGTCAGAGGAAGGGTGCCTTCGTGGGAGAGGGTGGAGTTGAGATGTGAGGGCTCATGGAACTCTGAGGCAGCTCAGAGAGCCAGCCTCTAGCCTGAGCTCATCCACTCTGACTGTGAGTTTGTGGCTCTGGCGCACTCAGAGACAAAGTCAGGGCATTGTGATCTGCACCTCCTGAGGGTTTCCTCACGTGAAGGCTACAGATGTCCTGTGTTGGCATGAGATGGTTCTTTAAACCCGAGGTTTGGCAGATGCGCCTCTGAGTTACCAACATGGAAAATGCTGCATCATCTCTGTCTGTCCATTTCTAAAGTCACTAAGCGCTAGTTGGTGACTTATTTAATTCCACAACAGATAAACGAGTTCTACTTCTTAGTGCTCCCATAAAGCCCCATGGAGGGAAAAAAAATAAGGGTATACTTACAACTGTTTTTGTTTTTTCTTGACTTTATTGTGATACTATGTAACATACACAGAAACAAACCCTACAGGCTACAGACCCTTCTCGATTTACCTAGAGGGGCTACTTTTTAAAAAGTGTTAGGCCATAGGTTCTGGTTCTTTTCAACTACTGGGTATATCACCACCAAGCTCCCTTTCCTAAACCTCGCCTCTCGGGCTGGAAAGTTGAGCTACATAACCTCCTGGCTACTTAGACACACACACATACACATCTTCACATTTGGCCTTTTGATTTCTAGCCCCTTAGTGAGGTAAGCATGTTGAGAGCCCCTCAGAAGAAAGCAGAAGTAGAAATACTTTGCTAAGTAGCGATACTTTTATTAAAAAAGTATCTTTTGTTCTTGATGATTTTGTTTTTTAAAACTTTTTACTGTAAATTAGGTGGGAGTTTACATTTCAGATCATCAATTAGGTATTCAACAACTTAAACTACATAGTAAATCTCCCAATAGCTTGCCCCACCCCAGCCCCCAGCTTTGAGTTTTCTTCTCCCTCTAATAGAATGCTGTCTTCCCTTCACCCAGCGTAACACCTTTCTACAGTCTACCCATTGCTTCCCCGTTCCCTCCGACCTCACTGTCTCTTTCTTTTCGTTTGTCTTTATTTTTCCTTTATGATGGTGGCCCTTTTGTGATTGACTAAGTTCACTCTAATGTTCTCCAAGTCCATCCATGCCATGCATGAGGTGCTTCATAGTTCCATCATTATTCTTTAGCAATGCATAGCATTCCTTTGTATAAATGAACCGAAGTTGATCTTTTCTTCTTCTGCGAGGGCATCCCATCGTCCTGCTATTGTCAACAGTGCTGCGATGAACGTGGGTGTGCATATTGTGCTGTGACTCTTAATTTCCAGGGTGTTTGCCCAGTAGTAGAATTGCTGGGTCATGTGGTGTTTCTTTGCCCAGTTGTTTGTGGAAGAGCCATATGCTCTTCCATAGTAGTTGTACATTTTTACAGTCCTCCAGCAGTGTTTGAGGGTTCCAGTCTCTCTGCACCCTCGCTAGCAGTTGTTCTTTTCTGTTTGTTTTGTTTTTGAACTTTGCCGTCACTGCCAGTGTAGGCATCTCATCGTCATTTTGATTTGTATCCCGTAGATGGCTAGTGATTGAGAGCATTTCTTCATAGATTTGTTGGTTACCTGGATGTTGTGTTTGGTGAAGTATCCAGATCCTGTACCCATTATTAATTGGGTTATTCATCATTTTCTTGTTGAAGTGTTGCAGTTTTCTTTACGTTTTAGAGATTAGTCCCTTGTCTGATATATCATTACCCAAAAAATGTTCCCATTTCTCTTTTTACTTTTTTGATAGTCTTTTGACACACACAAGGGTCTTATTTTTAGCAGGTTCCTGTCTTCTATTTTGTGGTGTGTGTGGGTGTCTTTTTAAATATTTGATAGTGTGCTTTTGACTAGTATTAGGGCCCTTAAGTTTATTTTCTCATTGATGATATTTATAGTTGTAGGATTTACATTTAGGTCTTTAATCCATCTTGAGCTTGTAAGGTGTGGGTACTGTTTCATTCTTCTGTAGATGGAGACCCAATTTTGCCAGCGCCATTAAAACTATCTCGTCCCAGGTTGAGATCAGTTAATCAGTAGGTGGATGGATTGACTTCTGGGTTTCCTACTCTATCCCATTGGTCTATATATCGATCGTTATACCAGTAGCAGGCTGTTTTGACAACTGTGAATGTGTAGTAGGTTTTGAGGTTGGGAAGTGAGAGATCTCCTTTGTTATTCTTCATTAAGCAGTACTTTGCTGATCTCCAGTCTCTCCCCTCTCCCTATAAAGCCGGTAATTAGCTTTTCCATTAATTTAAAGAGTGGTGCTGGAATCTGAATTAGAATTGCATCTATTGATTTGGGTCAGATTGATATTTTCACAATGTTAAGCCTTCCTATCAGTGAACATGGAACATTCTTTCATTTACGTAGGTCTCTTGGTTCCTTGTGGTAGTGCTGTTACTTTTGGATCTTACCATTCACTTGGGAGAGATAAGGATTGATCACCATGGACAACTACACCATCTTAAGTACTTTCTTCAGAGGAGGCATTTTGGGGACAGACAAAAGAACCAACTCCAGATACTAATCGCCCTGATAGAAATTTAGACTCTTTCTCTTCTGTTTAAAATACATTCATTCATTCATTCACCACAACCCCTGTGTTGAAGCTCTGTGCTGGGAGCCACTTCCGGGAACACTGAGATGGAACCCAGGTTCACATATGCTCCCAACAAGTGATGAGTGGGTTGTTGGGTGAATGGATTGCAGGAAGGGAGAAGTCTAAATCTTTTCTGTTTAAGTAACATCAGAGCAAGGTCCCAACTCCTGGACCTCTCTACAGCCTCTGCATTCCGACCACAGTGGTCCCCTCCCATCAGCCCTAGCTACCTCACCCTCCTCTCTCTCTCTCCATTACTACCACCTTTGGAGAAATGAAAGATAAAGGCCCCTTTCAAAGAGCAGATTAGCAAATACTTCCCCAAATTCTCTCTGTATGATCTTAATTCCCTCTTTTTGTTGCCCATGAAGGAGCCCCGGTGGTGCAGTAGTTAATCTCTCCTTTGCTAACCAAAAGGGCAGCAGTTCAAAACCACCAGCTGTGTTTTGGGAAAAACATATGTAGCAGCTGCTTCCATAAAGATTTGCAGCCTTAGAAACCCTATGGAGCAGTTATATTTGGTGTTATAGGGTCCCTGATAGTCAGAATCGATGCAAAGTCAATGTGTCTTGGTTTTGTTACCTATGAAGAAGCTGAAAACATTTTTCAGAAGCTGAGTTACAGAGGTACCTATTTTCTTTGTTGCCTTTACTAGTGAAACAAGTTCAGACTTATGAACCGCCCAAATTAGCTGACCAGCAAAGTAGTACTGATAACTGGGGTGTATTGAACACTTTGAGCCTGTTACTGTCCTAAGTACTTTATGAATACCACATACCATTAAAGCAACTCTGAGTGTCAAGTTCTGTCTCTCGTTTTACACAGGAGGAGATGAGCTGAGAGCATTTAAGGGAATTGCCCAAGGTGACACCGCTAGGGAAGGTTGGAGCCAGCAATCTGACCCTGGAACCTGTTCTTACAACCACGACACCCTCAGCCTTGCAGCTGCGTAGTCGGAACTTCCCTGTTGAATGTGCTTTTTCCTCAAAGTGGCCAGTTGCGGAGCATAGCCTTCGAAACGGGGTGCCTTTGTTTAGGATACTGATTGTGTTTTGTAGCAAGATGCCTGAAATGGTGGGTTGATTGCTGTTCCGCTTCTCCTCCATTAGTTATGGACGTGAGCAAGGGGCAAGGCTAGTTTGATCTTTAGCTTTCGCTTCCTTTCATCCGAATCAGAAGCTCGGCAGCAGAGGAAGGAAGCAAATGAGCACGCCCCTGTTCCCTGGAGGAGACTCCCTGCTTTGGTAACATCACAGCTAGTCTAGCTCCTCAGACCACACCACTTCACTACCATGCCTTCTCCACTTCTCAAGACAGAATGCTGGTTCAGAGCCAGGAGACACAGAAGCCCACGGGACATGGGATGTGGTGGGTGGCTTTTTAGTGGATTCAATTTTTGTTATTTCTGACTCTATAGTGAGGATGACTTTATCTTGAAAGTTCAAGTGTGCAGGCACCCTTTGCTGAACGTTCTGACTGACTTCCAGCAATTGTTAGGGACCAGTCAGACACTCTTACTTGTTCCTGCCCTTCCATTTAATGAATCCATCTGCCGAGTTGTGTTGTCGGCCTCTGTAGGTCTATTATACTAATATCTCCCATATTTGTTTGGATTAGGGAGGAGGGGTGGGGGATTAAGAATTCAGAGTTCTTAAGGATTGAGGGGCTAGAAAGGTTAAGTGGTTTGAACAAACTTGGAACAAATTGGTTTTTGTTGATTTTTATGCTTCTGTGTCTCTTTTTAATTCCCTACCCCACCCTCACCCCCATCCCATTTACATTTCCAACCAGGTATATCTTCGCAAAGAACCTTTTTGAAAACGGCTCCCTCAGTGACATCGAATGGCACATCTATCAGTACTGGCACACATTTCTCATGCAGGAGTTTGCCAGCCGGCTAAGATTACATGGCTTCATCTACCTCCAGGCCACTCCCCAGGTAACACAGAATCTGTACCGTCTTTGACGTTAGGGGTGCAGGAAACCTACGAGCGGGCGTGCTCCACACGGCCGGTTTTCAGTTTGGAGACATGAGCGTGAGGGCATTGTGCAGAGCGGAGTGTGGACACCAGACTGTCCCAGCTCTCGGTGCCCTGCGCCCACAGGCCGTGCTGGAGCAGTTGCACTGTGCACAGAAGGGTCCCTCTGGAGGCACCACCAACAAGCCAGCGGTGCTGCTGCTTCCCCCAGGTTGGACTCTAGGACCGGTGCGGGGACCCTATCACTGGCGCTCCTTTTGCCTTCCTTCTGGGGCACCGGTGTCTCTGGTGGTCTGGATGGGTTCCAGCATAGGATGTGGAGAGGAGGAGGAGGGCTGAGACTGCCCTCAGCGACCTCTTTTTGGGTCACGCTGCTGCTGGCAAAGCAAGGTACCCTGTTGTCATTTCGTGACCGGGACTCAAATTCAGAGCTAGCCCAGCCCTCAGTAGGAAGTGGTAGCATGATGACAGGAGTGCTGATATCTCTGCTGGTGAGCAGTGACCATGGCAGCCCCTGAGAGCTTTCCACAGGGGGTTCCTTCTGTGTGAACTGTGGTGCTCAGATTTGATGGATTCTAAGGGCTCTTACAGAGTGATTCTGAGTCAAAGCAAGAGAGAGAGAGCCTGTGTATGTGTAGGCAAATGGCTGCCTGCACCTCATCCTCTGCGAAGGAAGGAAGGAAGGAAGGAAAGAAGGAAGGAAAGAAGGAAGGAGCGCTTGCTGTGGTTCAGAGGGCAGGTTTATAGAGCAGAACTGAAGCCTTCGGGTCAGAGAAAGCCGGAGGGCGGCAGCCCGCATGGCAAGAAAAAGCATGGGAGAGCGAACGACGACACGATGGTGATGACAGTGATGGTGCTGCTGCTGCTGCTGCTGCTGCTGGTGGCGGCCATGTGCCCACCACCATTACCACTGTGGGGGGCTGGCACTTCCTGGAGAGCCTCATTGAGGAAGAATGAGGGGAGCTGAGAGGTTACTGCAACTTAATGGTTGTAAAGGAATGTATTCAGTTAGGCACTAGATGGGACTTTTGGTGTTATCTTGATAACACGAGAACCAGGGACCCTAGAGTGCCCACTTCCTTCCCCAAAGCCACCCCTCACCTCCTCTGTGAGATTCAGAAGTATACCCACAAGGGAGCCGAACAGAACAGAAGCTTCTGTGCAGAGAGCTGTGGAAATGGCCAGTGCTCTCTGCGCGGAGCCCTGGTGCACGTAGAGAGAGGGTAGAGGTAGGTGGCGGTTCTCAACCTCTGGGTCGAGACCCCTTTGGTGATTGAACGACCCTTTCTCAGAGGTCACCCAGTTCATAAGAGTAGCAAGATGACAGTAATGAAGTAGTAACGAAAATAATTTTTTGGTTGGGGGGGGGTGTCACCACAACCTGAGGAACTGTATGACAGGGTCACAGCATTAGGAAGATGGAGAACCACTGAGCTAGGGTGTGGTGGCCTCTCTGTCAGGGCTGTGCTCTTTGCACTACACTTGGCTTCCCACAGGGGGCAGAGGGAATGTGGAGCTCTTGCCATAGTCCACAGAAGAGGTGGTCAGGCCCTAACTGGACAGAGGTGGGAGGAGCAGCCAGGAGTCAACCTCCTGGAGAGAGAGTAAAGAATTGAGAAACTTCCTGGACATGGTTGGGGGAGGATGGTACTTCCCCTTACCCAGTTGAGGAGACTCCAGAGAAAACAGGGTTAAGGCAGAGAACATAGTGGAACTAGGTCTGTGAATAATTTCTTCTCGTTGAATGAGAAAACAAGACAGCAGAAACAGAGTCATGGCTTGTAGTACCCAAGAGTTGTGCCCGAGATAGACACATGAGTGGTGCTAAGATCCCCACTGGGCTGTGTTGTATCAGCCAGAACAGCCATGAGCTCACTGGGGTTGGGGACTGTCTCAGGTCTGTTTGAAGAGGCTGCACCAGAGGGCCAGGGCAGAAGAGAAGGGGATTGAGCTGGCTTACCTCGAGCAGCTGCACGACCAGCATGAGGCCTGGCTTGTTCGCAAGACAACCAAGTAAGTGGGGGGTTGGAGACATGCCTCCTTACGGCCTTCCTGTGTGTTAGGCTTTGCATGCATCCCCGTAAAACGAAGCCCAGACTTGCTGCCATTGAGTCAGTTCCAACCCAGAGCGACCCTACATAGGGTTTCTAAGGTGGTAGATCTTTTTTTTTTTAATCATTTTATTAGGGGCTCATACAACTCTTATCACAATCTATACACACATCAATTGTGTAAAGCGCATTTGTACATTCATTGCCCTCATCATTCTCAAAACATTTTCTCTCCACTTAAACCCCCGGCATTAGGTCCTCATTTGGTGGTAGATCTTTACAGGAGCAGACAGCCACCTCTTTGTCCTGAGAAGGAAGAGCGGCAAATGGGTTTGAACCATTAACCTTTCAGTTAGTAGCCCAGCATTTACACAACAGCAACAGGTTCAGAATGACTGGAGATGGTTGGAAGTGTCTAACATTTGATTGGAGGGTGGCCAAGATAAATGGCTCTCTGAGGCCAGCCTCTTCCTCTTTTTATCCCTGGTGATTGGACCAGCACACGCCTGAGTTAGCTGTTCTGGGCCGAACCAACCCATGGATCTTGGTGGATTGTGAATCACTACGCCTTGCAGCTCCATCATGACCTGCTTTGCCACACAGTTGCACTACTGGCCTCTGCCACACCTTGACATCTCATCTTCCACTCTGCACCTCCTGCCAGCCACTTCGTTGTCTGCTTCCTTGAAGTTGGACCAGTGGCAAGAGTTGGAAAGACTTAACTGTCCCATGAAAGAGTTGGACTGAGCCCTCTGTATTGCTGTGTGGACTAATTAATTGTTGTATTCCTTATCGCTATATAAACCTATCTAATGTATGAGGCTGGGTTGACTAGAAAAACAAATTTAGTGACACTCATCTATGTATTATAAGAAAGAGCTTTATATCAAGAAGTAATAGTATTTCAGGGAAACATACCAGCCCAGTCCAACTCAAGTCCCTAAGTCCGATACTAGTCCATAAATCCCTCTTGAAACTCACGCAGCCACATAAGTTCATAGTCTTGTGGACCCAGTGGCAGTGGAAGCATCACAAGACTCTGGCAGGTCTTGGCCAAGTATCTCGCCAACAGGAAAGTGAAGCAGAGCCTCCTTATGAGAAGGCCAGGCCCGCCAGGATGCACCATTGGGCTGTGACCTGATTGACAGGCTAGACTCCACCTCTGCACTGTCTTCAAGTTGACACAAAATTATGTAAATAGCACACGTGGTGAAAGTTGGCAGACAGTTAAGGGTCTGAACTTTGTTGGGCAGCTTGCCCCTTTCACCAAGTTGAATGACCTTTTCTCCCATTCAGCCTGAGGATGTCTTCCATGTGAAAGGTCAGCAGCGCGGACCTCATTGTCCGTGTTGAGACCACAGAGAAATCTCAACCTTTCTCTTCCCAACCAACTGAAGTGATTTTACCCCTGTGCTATCCACATGTGATCGGAAGCGCTGGTGGTGTCCTGGGGCAGTCATTGGGTTGCTAACCGCAAAGTCAGCAGTTCGAAGCCACCAGGTGATCCGTAGGAGAAAGATGTTTTCTGCTCCCATAAAGAGTGACCGTCTGGGAAGCCCACAGGGGCAGTTCTCCTCTGCCCTGTGAGGTCACTGTGAGTTGGAAATCGACTTGATGGCAGTGGGCTGGTGGCAGTGGTTTGGTTCCACGTGATTTCCTTGAGAAGCCCTGTGAATTAGGACCGTGCTCTGCATCCCCGAGCCTCGCTGAGTGTGCTTCTGTCCTCCTGTCCCTGCCATGTTCCTATGTGCACAGGGTCCACTCAAAAGCCCTGCAGAGCACTCCATTGCTGGTGCTGGACGTCAATGACGACTTTTCAGAAGGAGGAGCCAAGCAAGAGGAACTCATGAGCAAGGTGGGAAGACCCGACCTCCTGCTTCCCAACCGGGAGTGCTCTGCCTGGGTGTACGTCCCCTTTCTGGCATGGGTGGCAAACTTCAGTGTGATGGGCAGTGTGTTTCTGTACCTCACGTTTCATGTCACACGCAAAGCACACGGATTGTTCCTACCTCATAAATATGGTCCTTGTATGCTGGAAATCTGGGGTAGTCACTGTTAAAATCATAGGCTCGTAGGTGCTTCTCAACCGACTCGCCTCCAAGGTGTTCTCAAAGTTGGGAAACGAGGCTTCTGGACTCCTTCCCAGCTCTGCCCCTGGTCACTGGCAGCAGCACACGCTCACTTTGCCTCTTGTATAACCTTCCCCTTAGCACAGACCCTGCTGAGCTCCGCGGCGCCGTGTGCGTGTGGATGATGACTGAGATCCTCTGCTGCGATGGGCGCTTTAACTTGGGGTTTACTCTTTCCCTTTCTCCAGGTAGACACCTTTGTAAAGCATCTGTGACCAGTGCTCTGCTCTTCTGCCTGGGAGCAGGGCTCTCCGACTTTCTGAAGCTAAAACGTGTAGGCAGCCACCAGCCTTTCCTAAAGTTGATTGGTTTCACTTATTTCCTATGTCAGTTGTTCTGTCTACCTATATCTGTTGGTTGCCTGTAGACACAAAGCAGTGCCCCCCTGAGAACAGCCTTAGCTTTTCTTGTTGCGCTCTGGTCCAATACGAGTGCCTGTCGTCCCACAAGTGTGCACTCAGCCAGGCCTCACCGGGGGCACCCAGGACGGAAGTCAAGGCGCTCAGGAACCAATGAGAGCTGGAAAGAGCCAAGAGCCAGGAACGGAAGCCTGGACTCCGGGGAACTTCTCTGTCTCTTCCAGTCCTGCAGCTCTTGGTGAGAAGCTTAGGGCTGGGGACCCTTGTATTAAAGAACCTGTCCAGAAGGAAGGAAGAAATGAAGGAAATAATGAAGAGCCTGAAGCCCACGCATGTAACATTCAGGGTGGAGTCATCCTGAAGCCCTGGTCTGCTCTGAATACATTAACCAGTTAGTTTCCATTGATCTTGAGTCGGTCTCTGCTAGGAAAAACAAAAACAAAAAACTTGATGTGTGCTGTACTGCAAGCTGCAAGAGCAGTCTAATGTTAAGGGAGAAAAGCCATGTGGCTCTGTAGAATGGGAGTGTGCCATTGCAGGGATCTGGATGGCTCGGTTCCCAGAGACGAGCTCTTGTGCTGAATGAAGCCCGTGCCTGTGGCGGGTGCATTGCAGGCCTGCGGGGCAGCGGGGCGCAGAAGAGCCATACAGCTCTTCCTAACACTTCTGTAATGTTCTGAAATAAAAAAGATGTGGTTTCTTTGTCTCATGTGTTGTTTTTTAACAGCAGCTTAACTGAGATATAATTATGTGCCATAAAACGTACCCATTTAAAATGTGCACTTCAGTGATTTTTAGGGTTTCTACAAGGTTGTGTGACTGTCGCTACAATCCATTCCAGAGCATTTTCATCATTCCAAAATAAACCCCGTGCCGATCAGCATTCACGCCCCACTTTCCCCGAAGCCTCGCGGCACACAGGCCCAGAGCAGTCACCGTAACCTACTGTGCCTTTAGGCGTTATCCAGTGTGGGGTTTGGAATGGGCTTCTTGATCCAAGCCTACTGTTGATTTTTGCCATAGCATGCATCAGTGCTTCGTTTCCTTTTATGGCTAGCACTTCAGTAGTGGCGCTGTGGCATAAGCATTGGGCTGCTAACCACAAGGTCAGTCATTCCAAACCACCAGCTGCTCTGAGAGCAAAAAAGATGTCTTATTTGCTCCCCTAAAGATTTATGGTCTCAGAAACAATACAGGGTCAAAATGAGTTGGAGTGGACTCAGTGGCAGTAGACTTGTTTGGGGTTTTGATTTTTTGGAGTACTTCATTGCATGAATTTACTACATTTTCATCAGTTGAGGAATTTGAAAAGCTTCCCCCTTTTTAGCTGTTATGAATCATGCTGCGACGAACATTTGTGCACAGGTTCTCATGAAGATAAATGTGTCCATCTCTCTGGCATAAGTACTTAAAAGTGGAATTGCTGGGCCAGATGGCAACTCCTCATACAACATGTTAAGGACCTGCTGAACTTTTTCAAAGTGGCTTACGTTTCCACCAGCAATGGATTTCTCATCAATACTTTGTCTTTTTTTTTTTTTTAATGGCTTCAGGTCAGTGAAAGAGACTTTATTAAGGGCCCAGAGGCATTGGGCTCAGGAGAACACCAGCAGGAGGCAGGAGAGCCGGTAGACGGGCCCTTATTTGACCTTCTTCTTGGGACGCAGGTTGTTGGTGTGGCCACACTTCTTCTTGCGGCAGTTAACTGCACGGGGGTGAAGGCGAGCATACCACTTGTGGCAGATCATCTTGTCGCAGTTGTACTTCTGGGCCAGCTGGTGCAGGGACGGCTCGATGATACCACCACGCAGACGCAGCACCAAGTGCAGGGTCGACTCTTCTGGATGTTGTAATCCGAGAGTGCGGCCATCCTCCAGCTGTTTCCCAGCAAAAATCAGACGCTGCTGGTTGGGGGAATGCCCTCCTTGTCTTGGATTTTAGCTTTGACATTCTCGATGGTGTCGCTGGGCTCCCCCTCAAGGGTGATGGTCTTGCCTGCCAGGGTCTTCACAAAGATGTGCATCTTTGTGTTAGCCGCTCTGGCCGCCTCGTTGAAAAGAAAGCGGGCGGCCTACTTTGTTCTTTTTATGATAGCCCTCCTAGTGGGCGCATGCGGAGCCCTGGTGGCATGATGGTTATGCATTGAGCCACTAACCTTGTGGAACAGTTTGAAACCAGCCATATGCTCTGAAGGAGAAAGATGAGGCTTTCTATACTAGAAAAAAGTTGAAGTAAACCCACAGTGGCAGTTCTACCCTGTCTTACAGGGTTGCTATGAGTCAGAATTGAGTCGGTGGCAGTGAGGTTGATTTTGAATTTTCGTGGGCTCTTATGGCATCCTGGTGATACAATTAGTTACAAATTGTGCTCAGGGTAGTTCAAAACTACCAGCCGCTCCATGGAAAAAAGATGAGGCTTTCTGCTCTTAGAAGGATTTACAGTTCTCAGAAACTTTTGGGGTAGCCCTACTCTGTCCTATAGGGTCAAAATCCACTTGATAGCAGTGAGTTTGGTCTTGGTTCTGAGATGTGCACTTTCCTGCTGGCGAATGCTGGAGAGGGTGTTGTCCTGCACTTACTATCCATTTGTATTTCTTTAGGACAATGTTTTGTCCATTTTTCAGGGGCACTTTATCAGATGTATGGTGAACACTCTTTTTCTCCCAACGATCGTACTGTCTTTTCCCTTCCTTGATGGTGCCCTTTGAAGCACAAGTAACTTTAAATTTGATCGAGTCCAATCTGTTTGTTTTGACACTTGTGCCTTTGGCAAGTTGAAGAAGGCTTTGAGTAACTCAGGACCACAAGACATAGCCCTGTGTCTGTCTGCTCTTAAGTTATATCGCTTTAATTCCAACATTTAAGCCTATGATCCCACATGAGTTAGTTTTAGTGTCTGGTCTAAGGAATGGGTCCAGCTTCATTTTTGCACATGGCTAGCCAGTTGTTCCAGTATCATTTGTGGACAGTGAACTGCCCCAGCCCATTGGTGACACATTTGCCTCCTTGCTCTTGTGCGTGCTGCTTCAGGCCTCAGAGAAAACCAGGGATGCAGATGGGGTGTTTGGTGTGTTCAGGAAACACGGTGGTTTTAGTCTTTCAGCTGGGGCAACCAAAGTGTGAATTCTCGTTATGTTTCCTAGGAACCTGTAGTGCAGTAACCACCTGTGAAGTCAGCCTCTCTTCGTTCATTCAGCAAGTGCTAGGATCTGCCTTATGCCAGGTACAGCACCGCAGAAAGGAGGCCTGTTCTTCCCTCAATGATCCAGTGGAGAAAGCTGTACTCATTGCAAGTGTGGTGAGCATTTCAAAAGAGGAGACACAGGGGAAAGGGTGGGGAGTGGGGGAGGCTGTAGCACATGGGGTTACCATAATCTGGGATAGCTTTCCTAAGAAGGTCCCCTGAGCAGGAGCTGGTGGAGTACTCGGGCAGAGAGTAAAAGCATGTGGCTGGAGCCTGGAGAGAATGAAGCAGTCCATCCAGGTTGTCAAAGCCAATTATGGGTTTTAAAGGTACTCTTCATTCATCGTCTTCACTTTGAAAATACAGCTGTCCCCTAGGAGAGCCAGAGCCACCAACAGTCTCATCTAGGTGAACCGAGTTACCATTTTCTCAATTGGTAGCTGAGAACATCTGTAGAGAGAGTGAGCGTTTGAATGAGGAGCAGTCACCTTGCCCCCTAAGTAACGAGTATGTGTGTGTGTGGTGGGGGGCAGGGGGGGCGCACTAGTCTGGTGGAGACTTTGCATCTGAGGAGTGGGGCAATCACTTCTCGGCCTTTTGGCTAAGATCAAGTGTAGTATCTGAGGAGCGGGACATCACCTTGGAGACGCAAAGGGGTTGCTGGGGATGGGAAGGCACCCCGAGCACCTGCTGGCTCTGTTAAGCATTTTGCCTGAAATACACCCCTTTCCTCATTTTTGTCGCCTGCCACTATCAAGTAAGCCTCGGGCTGTTCTTCCTCTTAGGTTAGGCTGTCCCCTTGAGTCCCGTAACTTGGATGAATACCTAAAAATAGCTGCATTTCTGTCCAGCGTTCAGTGTGGTAAGACCTGCTATTCTGGAACCTGCATATTACATCTGGCTGGGTTTATAGCATGCCAATTGAGGTTGTGCAAGTTTTCAGATGGGAATGTGAAAGCAGAAGGTGATAGTTTCAGGTGAAAGAAGTGGTTGGTTATATGCAAATGCTAGAGTCTGAGGGTAAAGGAAGCCAAAGAAGTGAGACTGTGGGACTTGTAGCCTCCACTTTAAATAGGGGGCAGTTCAAATACTTGCCCACTTTCTCCTGAGAGCAGTTTGCTTTCTTGTTCTCTCCTAGTCCTCTCTATTAAGTCTTAAGCAGGACAAAAACAAAGACACATCAT